CATGTTAAATTCTGTAACTCAGGAAAGCTTTCTGGCAACCTAAAACAAAACAAACAAACAAACAAAAATGCTATAAATTAAAAAAGAAAAGTTCACGTATAGTGTATACCAAGCATAAATATAATGATTTATTCTACGTGCTAATTGAAATAACCTCCTAAAAATGACATTATATATGGCATATTTGCCTTGTCTTCCTATAAATAAGACACTTGTAAGGAAAAAACAAAGACTTCATATACATAGTAGATGTACAGGGGCATGATAAATACTTACTGTTATGGTGATCTAGAAATAATTAAAGTAGAAAGATATGCAAGCTCTAAGAACAAAGGCAAAAAAAAATGTTGGGACTACTGAATACTTTATGAAAGAAAATGATGAATTATTTCTGCAGCTAAAAGTGCCTAAGAGTAAAAATACTTTATTGATTAGCAGAAACTAAAGAGAAAATTTCCTCAGTCCTTGAGATTATAATAAAACACAGGACAGCTACTGCATAATTTTTTTTCCTGTAGTTTATAATACCTAGGGGAAAGCTATGGAGTACTTATTGATCCGCTGACAGACAATTGCTACTTCCCTTTTTTTTTTTTTTTTTGAGACAGAGTCTCACTCTGTTGCCCAGGCTGGAGTGCAGTGGCAAGATCTCAACTCACTACAACCCCTGCTTCCCGGATTCAAGCTAGTCTCCTGCCTTGGCTTCCTGAGTAGCTGGGATTACAGGCACGTGCCACCACGCCTGCCTAATTTTTGGATTCTTAAGCAGAGACGAGGGTTTCACCATGTTGATCAGGCTGGTCTCAAACTCCTGACCTAGTGATCCACCCGCCTCAACCTCCCAAAGTGCTGGGATTACAGGCGTGAACCACCGTGACAATTGCTACTTTCTTAACATTTTTCTTTTAGTTCTATTTAAGTTGCCAACCACTTGAAATAATTTTATGTTTTACTATGTTCTACACAAAGGGATATTTTTCATATGTTCCTTAAACTCTACAGGATAACAAGGCTTCAAAATAATATCATCATTTAAAATTTACAAAGAAAGTTTAGTTTCAATATTTCTATGGTTACCATATTGAGGGAGGGAAGGGAAAACCTAACTAAAGGCAAAGGATCTCATTGCGTTTAAAATGCTGAAGGTTATTAAACATAAATCTGCTAGCAAAGACAACAGAACATATAAGTATCACTTTTTCTCAGTGAGGGAGAGATTTCTGGCTTTAGTGATGGTCTCTAGATTAGAATCTTTCATTTTTATCTTTCTAGGTTGCTTTAAAAAAAGGCCTATGTAACATTATGTTTGATATTTAATATAGATTAATTCCAAACTTCAAAACCAAATCCAGACCCGCAAGATCAGGGTATTAACTGGAATACTTACAATCACTGGAATTTGTTCTGAGGCACAATTAACAGAGGCAAGATTTTTACTCACAATTCAAAAGATGCAACTTATCTGTTCTGCCTGAGTTTTTACCAGAACGTATATATCATTTTATAATTTAAAAACTAGCTAAGATGTTCTTAAACACAAGAAAAATATAGTTTTAAATAGCTGATTTAAATAGGTGCTTTTTTACTGGCTATTAACACAAGAGCTAAACTAGTACAGATGTGATAAGGAAGTACAGACCCAAGGTTAGGAGAAATGAACTGCAGTCCGAGCTTCCCACTCATTAGCTGTATGATCTTGAAAGGTAATTTAACCTACATGTGCCTCAGTTTCTTGAGCCATAAAATAAGTAAGCCAAACTAAATCATTTTTAAGGTCCCTTCAACTCACAGATATCATCTTAAATCTTAAAAAAACAGCACACCTGCCAAATTAAAATGGCTTCACCTTAAGAAACCTGCCAAATAGAAAGCCAGAATTAAAACAAACAAAACAGTAAAGCCTCACACAATCTAGGTATGTTCCAGTTGAGAGAGAACTGAAATAATAGTAAAGTCAAATGTCAGCAGACATTAGAAAAGGAAAATCAAAAAAAATAGAAAAAAGGAAGAAGCAACCGAATGGTTAAAAAAAACTCAACAGCAACATAACGAGTATTTCCCAGCTTGCCAAACCCTGTAAGCTGCCTTCAGCTTAGTCCAGTTCAACAAACATTTATTGAGCACTTACTCCATTCCAGGAATACAAGTAACTTCCTCAGGTTGGTCAAGGAGTCTTAGTCAGAGAAATAACTTAAGGGTAAACTTCAAGTGTTATGAAAAAAGTACACAGAGAGCATTACAGGAGTCCAGAGGAGGGGCCTGTGGGTAGTAACTGGGAAAGCCTTCCCGAAAACGTGTATGATGCTCAAACTGCATCTTAAGGACGGTGAAAGGGTCGGTACTGTCAAGAAGACAGAGGCATGAAATGAACTAACTAGAAGCACTTTATATTACAGCAGAGACTGATGTCCAGCATAGGCAACTGAGGTCAATGAAGATGGAGAGATAGACCAGGGTCAGATGGAGGGGCAAGAAGAGGCTCACATAGCACAGGGAGGAGCTCTGACTTTATCTTACAGAGATGGGAGCTATAGAAAGGTTTTAAGAGACAGCTGAATGGAAGATGGTGGGGAAAGAGGATAAGGTTGGAAGGACAGTGATAAGTAAGAAAGCTATTGGAGTATAGCTTACTAGATTACTATTCTTCAGTAATAAATGTTACATGTAACTTAATCACTACAATTCAAAGGAGGACAATCAGAAAAAGTTTTAAAAAGAAAACACATTTCTTTATTGGCAATAACAATGTATTGGAAACATAAAACTAAATAGTGCATTCTCCAGCACTCCATACCCAAGAAGTCCCAAGCAATTTTGAAGTGGGTGAGATGACTCAGAAATTTTAGTTTAATCTTAATTTTCCTAGATCAAAAGAGAAAAGACAGAAAAGAAGGGACGGGAAGAGTGCATTTCTTCTGAGGTTCCTTTCAGATTCTTGAGAAATCTTATAAATGGACCCACCTGGCCCAAAGAGACATCTAAAACAGACACCCAAGGACTATCTCTGCATTGCCACGCGGGCACAATTCAGTTATCCTACTAACAAGATGCCTGGAAGCCAGTGGTCAGTGGACTCATGAGTAAGCCAGGAGCCATAAGGAACAGCTCACAGCAATGCCACTCAGCCACGCCTGGGTAACAGACTGTGTCATACGAGGAAGGGTAAAGCTGGAATAAGTAGTAAAACTGACACAGTAGCTTTATTTGAAGGAAAACAAAAACAAAAACAAAGAAATCCCCACAGCTATTGTTAAAGAAATAATGATGTTCATAGGAGGTTTTTGTTTTTCTTGTTGTTGATGTTCATTTGTTTTTAATGGAGAGTTAGAGGAAAGTTAAGACAGTAAAAGATAGTATGGCCAGGTGAGGTGGCTCGGGCCTATAATCCCAGCACTTTTGAAGGCTGAGGTGGGTGGATCAGGAGGTCAGGAGATTGAGATCATCCTGGCCAATATGGTGAAACCCTACCTCTACTAAAAATACAAAAATTAGCCGGGCGTGGTGGTGCACGCCTGTAGTCCCAGCTACTCAGGAGACCGAGGCAGGAGAATCACTTGAACCCAGGAGGCGGAGGTTGCAGTGAGCTGAGATGGTGCCACACAACTCCGGCCCTGTCTCTTATACACATCTAGATGTGTATAAGAGACAGACTCCGGCCTGGGTGACTACGCGAGACTCCATCTCAAAAAAAAAAAAAAAAAAAAGATAGTAAACACTTTTCATTACTGGAGTACAAAAAAATAACTGTAATATGATTTCTCCTTGGATAACTCTGGTGTAAGCTCTCTGGGAGTTTAGAAACCTGCCTTACCCCACAAGACAGGACAGATCAATGGGGGGTTATAAACTACTACAACTCTTCACATTGCTTCAGAAATGCACTCCTCATCCTGTTTTGTACACTTCGCTGTGCTGCACCTTATCCCTACAACATCCTTTGAGGTTTCTATCAATAGAATAGTGTGCCTTTCATTGTACAGGGCTATTTATAAAGAAATATCTGTGAAAGTCAACCATCCGTGATAAAGATAGTGAGCCATCTAGGTACCTCCAAGATGGTTAACCTGACTGTGTTCTTTGCTTGGCTCTCAAAAAAGATATCCTTACTACTATAGATAGAAAAGTAAGCAGAAAGCTTACCTAGTCAGTGGGTTTCCGCTGAAGTCAGCTACCTGCAGTGCTTTACAGAATGAAATGCTTTCTGGAATTTCAGGAATCTCTGTAGGAGTAGAGAAAATGTCTATAATTTGCCACCATTATTAACAGTTTTTATCATTCTCAAGATAGATCACACTCACAAGAGAACAGCTGGAAATGCTACCTCCATTCAAACATGACCTAGATTTATAAAGTATTTTAATACATTTATATTTGTTTTCCTAATATAAGATATATTCTCAACAGAAGCACATTAAAGAAAAATATTAAAAACATCAAATCTCTAACAAAATTATAGCTATAGGAGGTATAAGTTCTAGTGTTCTATGGCAGGGATCCCCAACCCCTGAGCTACAAACCAGTACCTGTGAGGAACTGGGATGCACAGCAGGAGGTGAGCGGCGGGCGGGTGAGCGAACCTTCATCCATATTTATAGCCACTCCCCATCACTTGCATTACTGCCTGAGCTCCACTTCCTGTCAGGTCAGCACCCACATTAGATTCTCATAAGAGCATGAGCCCTATTGTCAACTGCCCATGCAAGGGATCTAGGTTGTGTGCTCCTTATGAGAATCTAATGCCTGATGATCTGATCTGTTTCCCATCAACCCCAGATGGGACTGTCCAGTTGCAGGAAAACAAGCTCAGGGCTCCTACTGAATCTGCCTTATGGTGAGTTGCATAATTATTTCATTATATATTACAAATGTAATAATAATAGAAATAAAGTGCACAGTAAATGTAATGAGCTTGATTTGTCCCAGAACCATTTCAAACACTGGTCTGTGGAAACACTGCTCATATGTTGGTTGTGTGTCCACCCAAATCTCTTCTTGAATTCCCATGTGTTGTGGGAGGGACCCGGTAGGAGGTAATTGAATCATGGGGCAGGTCCTTCCCGTGCTGTTCACATGATAGTGAGTAAGTTTCATCAGATCTGATGGTTATTATAAGGGGGAGTTTTCCTGCACAAGCTCTCTTTGCCTGACGTCATCAACGTAAGATGTGACTTGCTCCTCCTTGCCTTCCACCATGATTGTGAAGCCTCCCTAGCCACATGGAACTGTAAGTCCAATTAAACCTCTTTCTTTTATAAATTGCCCAGTCTCAGGTATGTCTTTATCAGCAGCATGAAAACAGACTAATAGACTAAATTAGTACCAGTAGAGTGGGGTGCTGCTGAAAAGATACCCAAAAATGTGGAAGCGGCTTTGGAACTGGTTCACAGGCGGAGGCTGGAGCAGTCTGGAGGGCTCAGAAGACAGGAAAATGTGGGAAAGTTTGGAACTTCCTAGAGATTTGTTGAAGGGCTTTGACCAAAAGCCTGATAGCAATATGGACAATCAAGTCCAGGCTGAGGTGGAAGATGAGGAACTTGTTGGGAACTGGAGCAAAGGTGACTTGTTATGTTTTAGCGAAGAGACTGGCAGCATTTTGCCCCATCCTAGAGATTTGTGGAACTTTGAACTTGAGAGAGATGATTTAGGTATCTGGTGGAACAAATTTCTAAGCAGCAAAACATTCAAGAGGTAACTCGGGTGCTGTTAAAGGCATTCGGTTTATAAGGGAAGCAGAGCATAAAAGTTTGGGAAATTTACAGGCTGACAATTTGACAGAAAAAAAAAACAAAACATTTTCTGAGGAGAAATTCAAGTTGGCTGAAGAAACTTGCATAAGTAAGGAGAAGCTGAATGTTAATCACCAAGACAATGACGAAAATGTCTCCAGGGCATGTCAAAGGTCTTCATGGCAGCCCCTTCAATCACAGGCCCAGAGGCCCAGGAGAAAATTGTATCCTGGGCCTGGTCCAGGGTCCCCATGCTGTGTGCAGTCTAGGGACCTGGTGCCCTGCATCGCAGCCACTCCAGCTCTGACCAAAAGGGGCCAAAGTATAGCTTGGGTTGTTGCTTCAGAGGGTGGAAACCCCAAACCTTGGCAGCTTCCATGTAGTGTTGAGCCTGCGGGTGCACAGAAGTCAAGAACTGAGGTTTGGGAACCTTTGCCTAGATTTCAGAAGATGTATGGAAATGCCTGGATGCCCAGACAAAAGTTTGCTGCAGTGGCAAGGCCCTCATGGGACACCTCTGCTAGGGAAGTGCAGAAAGGAAATGTGGGCTTGGAGCCCCCACACAGAGTCCCTCCTGGGGCAGTGCCTACTGGAACTGCGAGAAGAGAGCCATCATTCTCCAGACCCCAGAATGGTAGATCCACCGACAGCTTGCACCATGCACCTGGACAAGCCACCAGTCAAGGCCAGCCGTGAAAGCAGCCAGGTGAGGGGCTATACCCTGCAAAGCCACAGAGGCAAAGACCGTGGGAACACACCTCTTGCATCAGCATGACCTGGATGTGAGACATGGAGTCAAAGGAGATCATTTTGGACCTTTAAGATTTGATTGCCCTGCTGGATTTCGCACTTGTATGGGGCCTGTAGCTCCTTTGTTTTGGTCAATGACTCCCATTTGGAATGGATGCATTTATTCAATGCCTGTACTCCCATTGTATCTAGGAAGTAACTAACTTGCTTTTGATTTTACAGGCTCATAGATGGAAGGGACTTGCCTTGTCTTGGATGAGATTTGGACTGTGGACTTTTGAGTTAATGCTGAAATGAGTTAAGAGTTTAGGGGACTGTTGGGAAGGCATGATTGGTTTTGAAATGGGAGGACATGAGATTTGGGAGGGGCCAGGGGCAGAATGATATGGTTTGGCTATGTCCCCACCCAAATCTCATCTTGAATTCCCATGAGTTGTGGGAGGGATCCGGTAGGAGGTAACTGAATCATGGGGGAAGGTCGTTCCGAGCTGTTCTCGTGACAGTGAGTAAGTCTCACAAGATCTGATAGCTATTATAAGGGGGAGTTTCCCTGCATAAGCTCTCTTTGTCTGCCACCATCCACATAAAATGTGACTTGCTCCTCCTTGTCTTCCACCATGATTGTGAGGCCTCCCTAGTCAGATGGAACTGTGAGTCAAATTAAACCTCTTTCTGTTTTAAATTGCCCAGTCTCAGATATGTCTTTATCAGCAGTGTGAAAATGGACTAATACAACTGTCTTCCACAAAACCGGTCCGTGGTGCCAAAAAAGTTGAGAACTGCTATTGTATAGCACTATAAGATGACTACAGTTAACAATAATATATAGTTTCAAATGGGTGAAAGGAGGATATTGAAAGTTCCTAACACAAAGAAATGATAAATGCTTTAGATGAGTATGTTAATTACCCTGGTCTGATCACAATACACTGTATGTATCAAAGCATCACTATGTACCCATACATATGTACAATTATTTAACAGATCAATTAAATAATAAAATAACAAAAACCACCACTACCACCACCAAGTCCCACCACTCTATCAAAAGCACTGATGGCATTCTGTTGTAATTACCATTAGACTTTTTTTCCTTATGTTTTCATGTGGTGGTATCAGTACCAGGTATTCTAAAGTAATGTACTTTTAAATTACGAATTTTTTTCTAATTATAAACATAAGTATTTGGAAAATATACAAAGAAGAAAATAAACACCACCAACACTCTCATCACCTAGAGGTAACCTTTTATTGTGATTATTTTTAACTTGTCACACACACATGTGTGTACACACATATACACACACACAGAATATGTGTATAAACAGATTATATTTCACAATACTAAGTTCATGATAATTTGTTTTTTGCACTTTACATTACTTTACAAGCTTTTTTCTCCTATCATTATTTTTCCAAGTAGTTTGCTGTTCTTAATGGCAGAAAAGCACATTGTATATATTTTCATACTTCATTTAATCAATCCTCCACTGTTGGGCATTTAGGTTGTTACAAAGTTCCTGATGTTATATTTATGTGCATTCCTGATTATTTCCTTAGGCTATGTTCCCAGAAGTAGAATTACTGTGTCAAAGGCATTAACATCTCTACAGCGCTTGAAAAATATTGTTAAATTGCTTTTGCGAGGAGCAGCTTATGCCTATTTAAACTTTCATCAGCCTGTACAAGATGCCCTATTCAACATCGCTCCTCCTCTTTTCTTTCTGTTACATTAAAAAAAAATGCCAATTGTATTGCTAAAATAGTATGTCAACATTTTATTTTATATTCTTTTTATTACTAATGCAGCTGAATATTTTCCCCCACATTTACTGGCCTCTAAATATTGTGATTTTTAAATGACCAGTTATTTTAAATTCCTTTCTTGACACAAAACTTGAGATTATAGCTTTTGGGCCTTTAAAATGTTAGTCTGTAGCATTTAACTTCAAAGATTCATTTATTTTGGACGTATTAACATTGAGAAGGGCTAAAATAGAAAGATTTCTCCTGGTTCTTGCTGTTTCTTCCACCAGTCTGACTAATGCAATCTGAGCCAAAACATACTTAATATTTCTAAATTGTGGGTGGCAGGGAAAAGGGAGAATTAAAAGGAAAATGGATGTCTCGCTCCAACAGCCTCACAGGAATCAGATGCTCCATGAAAGATTTTAGTTCAAATTTAAAAGCGTAAAACATCTGGATCTATGCTGACATTTTCCTCACACTATTTTCTGTCTTGCATGGTCAAATGAGGTAGTGAAAAACAAACATTATGGTCCTAGTTTATACAAATATAATCGCCTATTTATGAAAGTAATAGCATAAATATAATAGCTTATTTGTGAAAGTAAGACCATAGTGGTTTATATATATATATATAGAGAGAGAGAGAGAGAGCTGTTGAATCTATAGTTAAATCTGGAATCGATTTTTAAAACTCACGAACATTTGTGGACCCTTAGTACAGATTCAGCTGTAGCCCTTTTATATACATTATCTTATTTAATCTCCTCAAAATAAACTATTTTAACTTTCATTATACAAAATAGACACTAAGGCTCAGAGAGACGAAGTGACTCAACCACCACTACACATCTATTTCACTGAGTGCTGGCCCTCCCATGTTCAAGTCATGGCACTGCCATGCTTAAGAAGAAACAAGCAATTTCATTATAGGATGAGCATCACTGTTCAGGCAAGTGAGGCCATGCCATGCCATTGGCTTGCCATGATCTGAAAA